GCACCAGATCACATGGACACCATGCAATTGCAATGCGGTGCAGGCAATGCACAGGATTCGCTGCGTTTCCCGCACCACATTTGTGTGAACCAGGTCCGATTCAGGCTGCTTTTTTGACAGCTGCAGCTGCCACACCTTCTCTCAGAACTCAGGAATCCTGGCTTTGATTAATCAAAGCCAACAATTGCTGTATGTTAGGAGGCAGGGTCCCAGTAGCAGTGCAGAGAGACTAGTCGTGCTACACATGTCCTGTGTACTAGTTAAACTGAACATATGATGAACTAACATGTATTAAGCAGAGGTTATCTGCGTTGGGAACTTCATCAAAATGAATAGCAGATCGAGAGATATAGGCAGCTGAACTTTACTTTTATGCAAATACCAACTTTTCCAAAAACATTTATGCATAATCCTGTTCTCTACTGTCCCCTATTGGTTGTTTAATCTGAAGGGGTGGCATTTCTGATTAATAGGGAGGACTGGGGGCTGGAGGATCCCATACATTCATAGTATACTAATATGGCCATAATTATCGCTATGGTTAACATTATTACTGGTATAGCTATTATCTGGAAATGACACAGTTTTGTACCTCTAATTCTGCATAATAATAACAACATAATCCCAGTTGAAGTTCCATACCTTTTTATCTCTTTAAAGGTCTCTACGCCACCTGTTTTGATTTGTTATGGATTCTTTCCTGGAAATATGAGTGGTGTTAGTACAAGATGTATTACATTGCACTTCTGCATATGTGGCTTTTTCTCTGATTTATGTTGAAATGTTGAATGTTTGTATGTATGTTGAATATGTATGAGAAAAGCTTATACTGAGCTGGTATGGAGATTGCCATAGCTGTCTTTTGCTTTTACAAATACTGGCTACCGCTGGGCATACTGAGTCATGACTTTGTGAAGTATGTAGAGATCTGACCTGCAGGCTTATCCAGGTCAGCCGCTCAAAGTATTGAAGCCAGTGACTTCTGGGCAAAAAGCAATAATCCAGTATTCTTTGAAGGACATAGCGAAGATCTTGAAGAACTTCGCTGTTGGGTTAGAGTACCAACTGCAAGAGTAGGAGGCACAAAAACAAAAGCACAGCCTAGAAGTGGGCCCTGCTGGTGACCCAACCACTGATCTGTTAGAGATAGCTCAGTTTTTTTGCCTAGTGTCCAGGAGTAAGGTCTTAAGCTTTCTTCTGTCAATTTATTTCCTTTCTTTTCCATTTTTGCAGAGAGTTTTTTTTCACTTTCTATCTCAAGTGATCCTCAGTCAACTGCTGACTGGGTGACAGGCTAGATATCTAGAGTCTTCTCAGCTCAACCATCAAATGCCTGCAGTTCTTTTCCTGGTGTGGAGGATCAGATGTGACAACCCTCATGGACAGAAGGGCAGTCTGTGTGATATCTCACTCAAATGGAAGTGGTGGCACATATGACCGAATGGCCCCAGGCTGATTTGTCACAGTCTCCTCCATGCAGACAGTGTCCCAGATACCATGTCTACCTGACATGGGGAAGAGCTCAGCAATGATCATCTATATACTTCTCTTAGTGCAAGTGTCCTTTAAAGCTGATCTACTGAAATGCTGAAAGGTCTTCCCTTGCAGTGGGCCTGCACTTCAGGCTTAAAGTACAACTAAAAGCAAAACTTTTTTTTTTTACATTTTGGAAAGTTTTTGTCTGTGCACCCTTAGGGAGATTCACCCTCTTTATTTGTCCGGTTTACCATTATCATTGAAAGTGAAAGTAAAAGAAAATCCAAAATTTTTGGGTGTCCACAGAAAAGTAATATAGAGGAAATCATCCAATGGGGACACTAGTTCTGGTGACCTGGGTGCCCCCAAGGGATTCCCTTAGTTTGCAGGGATTTCCTCTAACTTCCTGTTTTGGCTATGTGACAGGAAGGGAAGGGAAATCTCCCAATGGGACAAACATGGCAAAGATTAACTGACAGGGGTTATAACCCTCCTTTTACCCTATCCAAAATGAAAAAAAAAAATTGCCTATAGTTATATGTTAACTGCTCAGTTAGTGGAGGGGATGTGAAAAGCATTTTTACTCATCCAATCCTCTGCTCCCCTGCAAACATTGCTTCCATCCACTCTGGCAGTTGACTGTCCTTTGTTGTCCTTGTGTTCAGTAGAGGACTATGGACTCTGCATTGGTGTTGATGTTGTCAGAGGATCTTAGACTGCTGGAGGAAAGGGAAGGAGAGGATGCAGGGACCACTCTAGCAGTGTAGAGGACCCTGTAGAAGTGGAGGATGGGGTAAGTAAAACTGCTTTATCAGGTCTCCTAGGCTTAAATGAGCAGTAACCCTTTCAGTGTGTGGTAGAGCACCACTGAAAGTGATGACATTTTGTCTTTACAGAGTTCAGCTTGAACTACCTATGAGCTGTAGAGGGGGCATGTATCTAAATCAGAGATTGTAATCTATAGAAAACCTTATCATGAAAATAGTTGCTTTTAGAGCATATTTGCTGTGGAATGTGGGAAAAAAAATTGGAATGTAGATGCTGCGGGTAAATATTGTTACTTGGAGGAATGTGCTCACTGATATTACTTTGCAGAAGAACCAGCACCAGGGCCATGTGGCCCCCTGCACACCTCGGTAGGAATGGCGGTGGGGCAGCATGTAGAGAAACCAATCCCCTCTATTTTTTTCCTGGAGCCACTGAACATGGAGGGGATTGGTTACTCTACATGCTGCCCCACCACCCCTCCTATTCACCTCCTGTTGTGATCAAGCTTCTGTGTACTATCCTGGCCCCCCTCCCCTCTCCCACTGGCTGCTGTGGGGGATCTGTCAGGATGGAGAGCAGGGAAGGGACTAGTAAATGTGTACTTTACTGGCCCCATCCTTATCTTACTGAATAGAGTTAGTGATCTGTACTAATCACTGACTGTTCATTCAAAACAGAGGCATAGTAAACTGTGTTTACTATGCTTCAGTTTATGGCTCCATGTACATTGGCTTAAAAATCACTGCTTCTACAGGAGTTTTGTGTTTTGCCTGTAGAAAAAGCTTAGTGTTATCCTACGTGTCCATGCACATTAGGATGATTAGAGGCATATTTTAAGCTCAGCGTTTAGAGGGAAAAAAAAGCCCTTCTGGATTGCCTAAACTGTGTATAAAAACGCTCTATAGCAGCGTTTTTTTTCTGCCAAAGGAACTGTCATTTTTTTAAGCACAGTGTCCATGGAGCCTTCGAATGAACAGGACACTCTGTAAAGATCTGTTCCTGTCCATAAATTTTGTGCAGCTAAGGCTGCAGAGAAGGAGATTGGGGGGCTGTGCCCTTAACCCCTTCACACCTAAGGGTAAAACAACTCTTAAAGCCTAAGCACAATTTTGCAACTTTGACATGTGTTAGCAAAACTGTACATATCATCACAACTACTTTGTGCATCCAGGTGGATTATACTGCGTTTTTTTCAGGTCAAATTGGGCTTTCATTTTGTTGTAAATGGTAAGGGACATCTATTGGATTTTTTTTATTATCAAAGGAAAACTGACCCAAATAGTAAAAAAAACCCATTTTTTTTTTCAATTTAGTGGTATATTTCTAGCTACTACTACCATAACCAACCACCAAAGAACAATTCAAAATAATTTATGTGTATGTTCGTCATTGTTGTACCCATAGTATGGCCCAGAAACAATAGTGCACATTTTGCTTTTTTTTTTCCTGTCATGCCACTAATTGATACTGATACTAATTTAAAAATAAAACAAAAAATCCTGACAAAAAAAAATACTGACCTTGACCCAAACACTAACTCTGACACTGACCTAGACCCAAACCTTGAACTAGGTATTTTTATTTATTTTTTTATTTTTATGATTTATTTTCTTTCTTTCTTTCTTTTTTTTCCAAACATCTTTTTTTCTCTTTGAAAGGACAGAGAGAGCTACAATGTATCTCTCTCCTCCAATCAGAGAGAGAAAACATGGGGGGGGGGGGGGGGGGGGGCAGGCTTCACAGTGACTGATCACTGTGATATCCAATCAAAGGCTTTCACAGCAATCATATGACCCGGAGTGGGGAGTTCAGGGTCCTGATGCTTAGAATGGGACCCAGGGCTCTCACTGACACCCCGGTCTTTGTGCTGGGAGTGCGCCATGCGGCGTGCTCCCAGTAGAAAGACAGGTACGCAAATTAGCAGCCCAACGGAAAAAACCCAGTCCAGTGGGACCACTAATTTGCATACATTTGGTGCCAAGGGGTTAATCTCCTTTCTCTGTCTCAAAGTTGAAACATCAGAGGTCTGTTTAGACCCCTACTACTTCAGTAAAGCCCCTCAACAAGGCTCCTAGAAAATTGCAAATAAAAAATAAAAAATAAAAATTTTAAAAATAAATTAATAAAATAGAATGTTAAATGATAAAAATGAAATAACAAAAATAAAAAGCTATTGACACCAGTGGTGGAACTACTATGGTTGCAAAGGTTGCACATGCAACCGACCCTTAGCGTTTTGCCACCGTGGAAGGGCTCCGGGATCAGGGGGGCCCATTATGGTTTCTTGCTCTGGGGGCCTTGACTGGCCCCCAGCACATTAACTGGAGTTGAGCAGCCAAAGACTGCAATGTGGGTCCTATATACCATGACCATCTGATCTCCTCATTTTTAGGTTCAAACTACCAACACTTCCAGCTGAAACTCACACACCAAATATCCCGGTTTGTGGGCAAGACTAAGAAGATTGCAGCGTTACACAACTAGTGTTAGGAACTTTGCAGTGAGTGTTCTAGTGTTATTTTAATATGTGTATGGTTTAGGAAAAGTTAATCTGTAACCCACAAGTAATCTGATTCTTTACTTTATCTGGAGGATTAAATCAGATTAATATCTGTGGGCAGCTGCCCCATTTTTTGCTCAAACATTCTTTTTTGCATCGTTTGCATTTAATTCCTGTACATAGAAGAAAGGCACAAAAATATCTGTCCTGTGTTTTGACTTGTTTATATTGATCTGTGTTTTGTTGTCTTCCCTACAGGAAAGCGATTTCCCGCTCCGGTCTCCAGCACCTGGCCCCTGTGCACTGCCCCACCCTCACTGTCTCCAATGGACCCCTGAAGGAGCCACGAACATCCCTGGACTGGACTGTAGGGTTGATCTTCTTGATTTAGGGGGGTCTTTGTATGTGTGATGTCCAGCCATAATGGCTTTGTATAGCAATAACGATAATATCACACCAAACCTGGTGCAATGGTTTCAGTAGAGTGTTGTCAGATGTATACAGTGCCTTAAAAAAGTATTCATACCCCTTGAAATCATCCACATTTTGTCATGTTACAACCGAAAACATAAATTTATTTTATTGGGATTTTATGTGATAGACCAACACAAAGTGGCACATAATTGTGAAGTGGATGGAAAATGATAAATGGTTTTCAAAATTTTTTACAAATAAATATCTGAAAAGTGTGGCGTGCATTTGTATTCAGCCCCCTTTACTCTGATACCCCTAACTAAAATCTAGTGGAAACAATTGCCTTCAGAAGTCACCTAATTAGTAATTAGAGTCCACCTGTGTGCAATTTAATCTCAGTATAAATACAGCTGTTCTGTGAAGCCCTCAAAGGTTTGTTAGAGGATATTAGTAAACAAACAGCATCACGAAGGCCAAGGAACACATCAGACCCCTGAAGGAGCCACGAACAGAAGATGGCTGAAGCCAAATACAGGGCAATCGTAGAAGAAAATCTTGTCTGCAAAAAGACTTGAGACTGCAACCCTAAACATACAGGCAGACCTACAATGGAATGGTTTAGATCAAAGCATATTCATGTGTTAGAATGGCCCAGTCAAAGTCCAGACCTAAATCCAATTGAGAATCTGTGGCAAAAATTGCTATTCACAGACGCTCTCCATCCAATCTGACAGAGCTTGAGCACTTTTGCAAAAAAAGAATGGGCACAAATTTCACTTTCTAGCTGTGCAAAGCTGGTAGAGGCATCCCCAAAAAGACTTGCAGCTGTAATTGCAGCAAAAGGTGGTTCTCCAAATTATTGACTCAGGCGGACTAAATACAAATGCACGCTACACTTTTCAGATATTTATTTGTAAAAAATTTGAAAACTATTCATCATTTTCCTTCCACTTCACAATTATGTGCCACTTTGTATTGGTCTATCACATAAAATCCCAATAAAATACATTTACGTTTTTGGTTGTAACATGACAAAATGTGGAAAATTTCAAGGGGTATGAATACTTTTTCAAAGCACTGTAGGTTCTGTCATGTCTGTGTTTTAGTCACTCACTGTGTTTTACTAAAGGCAGATAGACTGTGCAATTTGCAAGTGCCTTTAGCAATTGTAGTTGCTCCAGAGCTCAGTGAATGAGATAGATAAAATAATGGGAAAATAAAGCGAGCGCTAATGATAAAACAAATATGAAATGTAAGCAACTGAACACACTAAAAGGTGAACCACATGCCTTCAAATAGATCTGTAAAATAAATGTTGGTGCAGCGCTAAGAAAATATATGGAAATGACCAATCTCAGTGTCATAATCGCATGTAGGTGATAAATGCGTTTTGCTTACAATATATAATAAAACAGTAATTAAAGTCTAAAAAAATAAATAAATAAAGATGCATGTGTCTACAAAAACGCATAATCGTGACATGCGTGGTGATCATAAAATGTCCATAAATTCTTTAAATCTGCTGTGGTCTTCAAGTGATTTCAGTAAAGTCCCAGTATACTTATTCTCCTTAGGTGGGTGTGCTAATCAACATACAAAATGCGCACTCACCAGATGCGTTAATAAAAAGCGTGTTGTTTCATATACTCCTGGTCATTCACGGGTCCCTTAGGGGTAGTCCGGGATGTAGCCTGGGGGTAGATGGTCTCCCTTAGGTGCCAGGATATGATGACCAATACAAATAGCTCAGCCTCTTGAGGACGCTGGGACATTCACTGGAGATGGTGCTAGGGGATTTAAGGTGCTCAATGCAGAGCAAAAATTAGGGATAATCCCATAGTGTAGTATTTTTTTTTGTCAGGATTTTTTGTTTTATTTTTAAATTAGTATCAGTATCAATTAGTGGCATGACAGGAAAAAAAAAGCAAAATGTGCACTATTGTTTCTGGGCCATACTATGGTACAACAATGACGAACATACACATAAATTATTTTGAATTGTTCTTTGGTGGTGGTTGGTTATGGTAGCAGTTTGGTAGTCTAGAAATATACCACTAAATTGAAAAAAAAATGGTTTTTTTTACTATTTTACACCATCCCCAGTGAATGTCCCAGCGTCCTGAAGAGGCTGAGCTATTTGTATTGGCCATCATATCCTGGCACCTAAGGGAGACCATCTACCCCCAGGCTACATCCCGGACTACTCCTAAGGGACCCGTGAATGACCAGGAGTATATGATACAACACGCTTTTTATTAGAGCATCTGGTGAGTGCGCATTTTGTATGTTGATTAGCACACCCACCTAAGGAGAATAAGTATACTGAGACTTTACTGAAATCACTTGAAGACCACACCAGATTTAAAGAATTTATGGACATTTTATGATCACCACGCAATTAACGATTATGTGTTTTTTGTAGACACCTGCACATTTATTTATTTATTTTTAGACTTTAATTACTGTTTTATTATATATTGTAAGCAAAACGCATTTATCACCTACATGCGTTTATGATAATGAGATAGATACCCAATCATTTGCAAGGCAAATAAACAAAACAGAATTTTTTGCTTGCACATGATTGGATGATGGAAATCAGTAGAGCTTCCCCTCATTTATTAAGCTCTGAAGTAACTGAACTTGTAGAGTGCAAGTGCACTTACAAAGCGCACAGTCTCTTTGCTTTTAGTAAATCAACACCTATGTATCACTGAGAATGACTGTGACATTTTGCATTGCCATCAGAACAGAAGATGAAGGAAATTCCTCCAAAGAGATAGCTTGTTCTGGCGACAACTGTTTAAAAGAGGAATACATAGTGAACAGATTTCCTCTCTCCTCTTCCTGTTGTGTCAAGAAAATCTCCCCAATGGTTTAGAGATGGCAAAAAAAATTGACAGGTGTTTTATTCATGTCCTACTTAAAAAAACAAACCCCCCCCCCAAAAAAAAAATATATATAAATAAGTATTGAGCACGTCACAATTTTTCTCCACTTATCTGCAACAATCCATGCAATTCATACATACAAAGAAACCAAAACAAATAAGTTCAGAAATTAGGTTATGTGTAATAAAATGGAGTGACACAAGGAAAAAGTATTGAACACGCTAACATAAATGTATTTAATACTTCGTACAAATCCTTTGTTGGTAATAACAGTGTCAACACGCCTCTTGTATGGAGAAACCAGTCAGATGCATTGCTCATAAAAGGGCCTTTTCTATGAACTCTGATCTTTGGTTCTTTCTATAGATTTTCTATTGAATTCAAGTCAGGTGATTGGCAGGGCCATTCTAGCAGCTTTATTTTCTTTCTTTGAAACCAATTGAGAGTTTCCTTGGCTTTGTGTTTGGGATCATTGTCTTACTGAAATGTCCACCCTCGTTTCATCTTCATCATCCTGGTAGATGGCAGCAGATTTTTATCAAGAATGTCTGGGTACATTTTTCCATTCATCCTTCCTTCAATGAAATGAAGTTTGCCAGTATTATATGCTGAAAAACAGCCCCACACTATGATGTTCTCACCTCAAAACTTCATTGTTGGTATGGTGTATTTGGGGTCATGTGCAGTGCCATTTGACCTTCAAACATGATGTGTATTATGGCTTCCAAAGAGTTCAGTTTTTGGTCTCATCTGACCAGACTATATTCTCCCAGTATTTCATAGGCTTGTCTAAATTTTGTGCAGAAAATTTTAAACAAGCTTCAGTATGCTTTTTCTTTAGCAATGGGGTCTTGCGTGGTGAGTCCATGGCGGTTGAGTGCATTACTTTCTTGTTTTCTTTGAATCTGTTGTACCCGCTAATTCCAGGTCTTTCTGAAGCTCTCCACAAGTGGTCCTGGGCTCTTGGACAACACTTCTGATAATTATTTTCACTTCTTTGTCAGAAATCTTGCGAGGAACACCTGGTCGTTGCCCGTTTATGGTGAAATGGTGTTTTTTTCCACTTCTGGATTATGGTCCAAACAGTGTTCACTGGAACATTCAGAAGTTTAGAAATCCTTCTGTAACCAATGCCATCAGTATGTTTTGCAACATTAATGTTTGCTATGGTCATTAGTGAGCTCTATGCTTTTACCCATCATGAGATGTTTCTTGTGTGACACCGTGGTAAGGAGACACATTTTTTATAGGCCATCAGTCGAGAATAAACCAACTGATATTAATTTGCACTGACAAAGGGCAGGATTACTTTCTACTTACTGATAGATTTCAACTGATTTCTTGGCTTTCCATGCCTTTTTGCACCTCCCTTTTGTTCATGCGTTCAATACTTTTTCCTGTGTCATTCCATTTTATTACACATAACCTAATTTCTGAACTTAGTTGTTTTGGTTTCTTAGTATGTATGAATTGCATGGGTTGTTACCGACATGTGGTGAAAATGTCATGTCAATAGCACCTTTAGGAATATATTTACCTAGAAAAATGGTGACGTGTTCCATACTTATTTTGCTTTATTTTATATATACAGTATATATGGACCAGTTCCTGTGGTTTGTCTCTTCCCATTTTAATTGACTGCCTGATAACCAAAAGCGAGTCATGGGAAGGTGTGGGTTAAAGCTAATAACTGCAGGGGCTAGTTGCTACAGGTGTTGCATACAACTGCCCATAGAAATCAGTGACTGTAGGAAGGATATAAGGTGGTACTTGTGTAAACATGCTCATGTGTAGGGACAAACACCCTTGCGTTCAGGGAAGTATGTGCATATGCACATCGGTATGCATGTTTACACTAGTACTAGCATACAGCCACGTAATACCATTGATTTCTATGTCTGAAACACACCTGCTAGCATTTCTAGCAGTGGCCATCTTGGGTAAGGGTAGATGATTCATGTAGCATTTACTTCCTGGAATCCAGCTGCCCTTAGCTCAGCCATGCAAGCAGGAAGGCATACTTATCAGAGAAGCCCCTCCTTCAGATGAAACAAAATGTCCTTGAAGCTTCCTGGGATGTATGGCATCATTTTTGTTCAGGCCAGAAACTAGGAAGCAACTGAAGAAATGTAAAAATAAATAAATAAAGCAAGAAAATATAATATACCTTCCTATCTATTTACTAATGCTAGTGGCATAAGGATTACAAATAGTTCCTTTTGATTGAGAGAGTTTAGTTACATTTTATTGACTTTGTTTAATACTATCTGTAGAACAGATTATGAAGGCTAAAACAAAAAAGAGGCACTGTGTCTCTAAATTCTGTCATATACAGGGGCGGACTGACCATTTGGAAACTCGGGCAATGCCCTAGGGCCCGGGGTCAGTAGGGGGCCCCATGAGATGCCCCTGGTACCTTTTTCATAGGCTATTTTGAGTTTGGGCAAGGACACAGGGACCCCATGATCCCCTATTGCTGGGGGCCCCATGAGTTGTCAGTCCGCCCCTGGTCATATATTGAGGTGCTGTTACATTGATAGCAATTGAAATATCACAGTCTTACCTCTGGGTGATACTGGGTTACTTGTACATGTATGATGTATGGCATGTAGTTTATGTGCGGAATTTGGTCAGAACGAATGATTACATGTTTACTTTGCAGGAGAATGCAGTAAATGGGGAGCACCTGTGGCAGGAGACTAATGTATCAGGGGACCTGTGTTACCTGGGGGAAGATAACTGCCAAGTCAAGTTTTCAGTGAGTACAGTCTGGCCCTTTAATTCAGCATCACTGCGTTAGCTTTGAGCAATGTTGTATTAACTATTTAAGGATGCTTTCACACTGATCAGTTTTTCTTTTGTTTTTGCTTTGAAAAAAGTGGAAGAAAAATGCACGACCATTAAGTCTTACAAAGCTGAATTTTTGGTGCATGTTTGGTGTGGTGAAAAAACGCACCAAAAGCACCTCCTCATTGAATTGAATGGAAAACGCATAAAAAGTGCACTTGCATTTTTGTGTTTTTTATTTGTTTATTGAGTCACATGTCCTTTTTTTCCTCAGGTGCAAAATGCGCTGGAAACACAGTAAAAATGAGGCAAAAAACACATATGCGTTTTTACCGCGTTTCTGCAACAGAGCAGTTTGAAAGTAGCCTAAGCCAGATTTTCCATCTCTCAGAGTGAAATGGTTGGTAGAAGTATGCTGATATTTAGTAAAGGAGAACTTAAAGCAGCTGAACAACTAAATACACAGTTGAAATATTTTTGATTTGTTCCTCCAGTCTTGTAATTCAGATACACCTACCAGACAGCACTGTGAGGATGTTGCCACCAGTATTCACTACTGCAGCTCCTAAAAGAGTTCAGCCCTGAAGTCCTTTGTGTGCTCTTCTCCTGCCTCAGCACATTCTTTCTCTAGCTTCCAGTGCCTGAAAACACTTTTGGATTGCTTTCACTGTGCAGTGCTGTTGTGTTTGACTCACATTGCAGAATCTCCCACTCTCAGTCTGATTTCTGCTGTACAGTGAATAGTGGGAAGATAACAAAGGGACAAATGTCCGGCATTTATACTAGTAGTGTTTTGAATAATTGTAATTAATACTTAATTGATGTATTGATTCACAATCTGTAATGTTTAAAAATAAAGAAAGAAATGGGATATCAATACATTAATGTCCAATAGAGTAAACTGAAAAGTGAGGGAAAATCCTCATTGTCATCTGAACAGATGTTCCCATTGGATTTCCCATGCATTCCTGTTCTGGTGACACATATTAAATTACAAAATGAGTATAAGATCAGCGAGTGCTTAAAAGTAGCCACTATTGCACACTAAGGTAACCAGATAAAACCTCAACATATATAAGAACTTAAAGGTGCTTATATAGGTCCCTCTGGATGGTGTAGACAGGTGTGCTCCTCTCAAAAGAAAGTGCTCCATGCTGGAGGAGAGATTCCTTGTCCAAAAGACTGAAAGAGTCAAGACGGCTAAGCGAGGCTGGGAGACTGAGAGAACTGAGATGGCTTGGTGAATTCAAGCGGCTGAGGGAATCTTGGAGTCTAACAGAGTCTACCCTGGAAGTTAGCTGCAGTATCCCACAAGATCCATAGGAGGGAGTTTCCACTTCAGGCTGTAAACACCCATCCATCCTATAAAGGGGACCACTAGCAGAAATATATTCTTATACATCCAGGAAACATCCGCAGGGCAGCACACCATCCAGAGGGAGGAGAATCCGTACCTGGCTTACCTCTTCCATTCCACCCTTAAAGGGGACCTCTGGCTATATATATTACATGTGTATTTAAAATATGCATCTGGTGAGTGCGTATTTTTACCACACCTTATGGCACATCACTGAACACTGGAATAATCAGCAGTTTTTGATTGGCACCTTAGCACGAACTGTCACATTTATGAACATTTAATATTTTAATAACATTTATCTTTATTTCATGATTCATATATCAGTACCTTTTAATATTGGACATTATTGGATTTATTATTTTTAGCGCTGCACCTTTAAGTTCTTACATATTAAATTATGTTTTTATAGAAGTGTCGGAGAAAAATGCTACAGATTGTTATGTTTATGTGGGGAAAAAGGATGGATGTACCAAGCTGTAGTGATTGGTCCAGATATCATTTGTATTTGTCACAATAAAAGAGTCTAATAAAAATTGATGGCCAATGTTTTGCAGGGGCTATACTCAAGTCCCACTTCATCGGGGGTTTACTTTTGTGTTCAGGAGGAATCTGGACCTGTGGTTAGTCCATGGGTTAAATTCTTAGCAAGCTGTAGTTATGGCTGTTTAAATACAGTTCACTAAGAATTTCACCCAAAGAATAATACCTTGTACGGGTTCAGTATACCTAAAACTTGATGAAGCGTTAACCTCTGAAACACATTTTCTGTCAATTTTTGATAGAGCCTTTTATTGTGAGAAATAAACATTAAATCTGGACTAGTTCCTATAGCTTGGCACGCCCATCCTTTCATACCATGTAACTGATCATCCCAGGGACCCTGTTGGAGTCCCACCAGGTATTAGAGAGCTGCAACACATTAGCATTCATCTGATTCATTCACAAACTGCACTAAGCTGGTGGTGTACACTCTAACTAATGGATTATATGGCCAGTTTTCAAGACAGTGGTGCTCAGTAGATGGTTCTTTTATTGGATAGCAGGATTCTTCAAAAACCTACCATTTACATGACACTCCCATCCTTTCACTCCGCATAAATTTAACAATCCAAGGCATTTTTTATGACATTACTTTAAAAAAAGTTTGTTTATATTTCTATACTTCTACATGTGGAAAAAGTAAATGAATCTTAAGTTTAGTTATGCAATTATTCAAAAATAATCTAATTTTATATATTGAAAATATGCAGTAATTACCTGAAGTAAAAGTGCTTGTTTACTCGTTCTAACCCCATACTCTTTGAGTTTGAATTTTTGAGTTTTTGCACTTTAACTTTACTATGGCTTGCTTTGGGGACTGGAAAATGAGTGGGGAGTGTTATGCCAGTTTACAACACGAAGGGAACACAGTGAAGTACTCAATGATAGGGATGAATGGAGGGATTTTGGTGAAATTGATTTTACTACAGAAACTCTCTCAATTTCACTATATTTTTTATTTATTTAAATTGGCTTGTTTTTTCTTTTAAAGGGTATATTTACAGTTAGTTAGTTTGTTTGGTACGAATTGTCAAGCGATTTGATCATTTAAATTTGCATGACACGTTGCACCCTATTGTCTGCAATGAAAACGGTCAAATCGGTGCAACTCTAACTCCACTGAAAGTAGTTCATTCACTACTTTTGCAAGTTCAGGTGCGACTTGCATAGACATATATGCAGGAAGTCGCACAGATGTCTTTCAAGTTGCACCTAAAGTCGCACTAATATCTGACTTAGAAATCGTGCAAATTCAAGTGAAGTTGCACGATTTCAAAGTCGAATTTGGTGTGACCGAAGACTCAGTGTTCCTTGTAATTGTGTAGCACCCTCGTAGATAAGTGCTAGGTAAGGTAAATTTCATTCTGGGCCCACTGTAATCAGTGTAGCTGTGTGTGATTATTGAGGTCTGTTCTGTGTATCACTGGCTGCAAGGTTGATGCCTCCCCTGTCTCTCTAGAGCAGGGTTGTCAAACTGGCGGCCCTCCAGCTGTTGTGAAACTACAAGTCCCATCATGCCTCTGCCTTTGGGAGTCATGCTTGTAATTGTCAGTCTTGCAATGCCTCATGGGACTTGTAGTTTGGCAACAGCTGGAGGGCCGCCAGTTTGACACCTGTGCTCTAGAGCAGGGGTGGGCAAACTGCGGCTCTCCAGCTGTGGTGGAACTACATTTCCCATGAGGCATTGCTACATTACAAAACTGACAGTTACAGCTATGACTTGCAGAGGCATGATGGAACTTGTAGTCCTGCAACAGCTGGAGAACCGCAGTTTGCCCACCCCTGCTCTAGAGGATTCTGGAAGGAAGAGGGCAGGAAGAGTTAAATCAGCTGATGAATATTAATGCAGCCAGGGTTGGAAGTGTGTATAAATACACTGGGACCTGGAACAGAGTTGGCTTGCCCTAGAAGGAGATCACAGCCTGGGGGGGCTGTTTTCCCAATGGCAAAGACACCTGCCATGTGCCTGCTGTTCATCAAGGTTCATGCTAGGCTAGCTGGGGGGTATATTCTACTGAAAGTTGCTGGAGTTGACTGAGGGATTTTTGTTCCCGTGGGGATCTAGTCTGGTTATCACTGTAAAAGTGTCTGGAAGATACTGGAAGGAGGCAACAAAAATATTCAAGGACATTAGTGAGTACAGACTGATGTGAGAGATACATTCTTCTTGTGCTAGTGTCAGCTGTGTTCAAAGGGGACATTGTGTCTGGTGTCCTGAAAAGGTCAGTCCACTAATTGCTTGTGCAAGGACTCTGCTCAGATCCCTAAAAGGAAGTTTAGTGTCCTCAGGTTGGTGCTGATGGTTACTGGAGTATCTCATAGTTACCCTGAACCTATCCAAGTTCAAGTTCTTCATTAAAGCATCAGAAAAGCATTCAACTAGACTGTTCATTAGGCCAAAGGAGTGACCGTGACTGGGTGCCTGGCTGCGGGGCAAAACAAAGACCTAAGAACCTTAAAACTATGGGCTCCTGCGAGCATTACATTTTGTTTTTTTTATCAGTTTTATTTTTAATTGTGTACTGTCAAATGTACTTAACTTTTTGTTGTCTGTGAAAATAAAAGTAAAATAATGAGGCCAATGAGGGTCCACTTTTTACAGAACAGGTCCTGTGAAGTTCATCGCACATGCTACCATCTGACTGTACAATCTCCCTTGGATCAACTAACAACTATACAGTGTTAGGGCCTACCTAATGAGAGGCAAATTGATTGGATAGCTTAAGGCAGTGGTGGTTAATTTACTTGAAACAGGTGGCCTGAAGTGCCGCCCCTGAGATCATTAAGGCGGCACACATAATATAAAGTAAAAGTAAGACTGAAGAATTCTGTCAAAGACTACAGACATGTGTAATAAGATGGCCAGAGACTGTGAACATGCTATTATAGTTGTTGGAAACTGGGGACATGCTTCAGGAGACACATCACATGAGACTTACATATATATACATTGGAGCATTGATTCATTTTCGTTCACTATCCATTGTTGCACTTTTGGGTTTGAGGAAAAAGTTGGGGGAGGTGTACTATAGCACCATCCATCATCATATCATCACATTTATTAATTATTA